CAGTGGTATGATTTTTGGAGATCAGCCACTTTTTCTATTTGACGGCGGTACATACCGTGCAGTGGTTTGTCCTCCAATGAGGGTTCCTGCTCTTCCTTCCCTAGTTCCTCTGGTTTCTGCTGACTGAGGTATTCACTAAGCATGTCATCACTCTGGGCCATCTTCCTGATGTATTCATGGATCTTTGTTGTTTCATCCTGGATAGTGGCTCTGTCGCTCACTAATCTTCGGCCTCCGCTTAGTGTACAGTCTCAGGATGCTGTACTTCTCAGGACTTGCCTTACTCTCTGCAGGTACTTGGTGGTTGCTGCTTTCCTTGCGGCCTCTTCATGGTTTTCATTTGCCTGCGGGATCCCAAGGTACTTGTAGCTGTCCTCAACATCTGCTATGTTGCCTTCTGGTAGTACAATCCCCTCAGTTCTGACTACCTTCCCTCTCCTTGGGGGATGTGGGACCTATGTATATATATATATATATTATTTTATCTTGTTTGTGTGCATTCAGAGCCCACTGTCATATTTTGTTACCCCTTGTTTTTGCTACTCCATATCTTTTTGTGTGTAAATAAACTGTATCTGCTGGACATCGAAGCTGCGAGGACCCCCGTAATTGTGTCCCATGTGAAAACCATTTTACCCGGGCTACACATATACAGTGAAGAACAGAAGTATTTGAACACCCTGCGATTTTGCAAGTTCTCCCACTTAGAAATCATGGAGGGGTCTGAACTTCACATTGTAGGTGCATTCCCACTCTGAGAGACAGAATTAAAAAAAAATTTCAGGAAATCACATTGTATGATTTTTAAAGAATTTATTTGTGCACAGCTGAACATGGAGCTGGAGGAAGTGTCTGAAGAGAGGGAAGTCTGGGCATCTTTGCTTAGACTGCTGCCCCTGCGACCCGGTCCCGAATAAGCAGAGGAAAATGGATGGATGGATGGACTCATTAACTAGTGCAATAAATCCAGGAGAAGTGGCAACTGCTGTTATCCCCATCATAGCAGCTCAGCCGAGAAACCGTCACACAGACTCATTGGAGGGAGATTGTTATGATCACTGAGGGTTACGGGGCTAATGGTAATATTAGCAAAGAGGCACAAGGAGGATTGAGAGCAAAAGAATGAGACAGTAAAACTGGGCAGTGAATTTAATGAGACAGAAGCTCTTAGAAAGTTACACCATGTAATTAATGAGACATTTCACTGAGTGACCTTACAGTGGCATCCTCTGTAATTACATGTATATGTGTGTTATGTCAGGATTTTTGTGCAGACCTACTCCCTAAAGGGAAATGTAACTGTAATTACTGCAGCCATCCATTAAAGTCTAACCATCTCCGCTGGTTCTGTCTCCTGCTGTGAACCATCTAGACAAAAATAAAACATCAAGAGATTAAAGGAGCAGGAGCCAGTAGACTTAATACTAAACCAATCAAGATATTTTTTAAATGTTAACAAGAGATCAGATGAATATGTGCCATATGAAAGTGATCTCTTAAAATGATCCCAGAGAGAGCGTTTGTTGGTCATGATCAGTGTTGTGCTTTCTATTGCCTTGAAATTGGCAAAACAAATTGTGCAACTTTAAATTAAACATTCTCTCCATTTTGCATTTCCTTTATTGCTTTGTGTTCTGTGTGTGTCTCCATGTTTTTCATCATACACAAATTCACATCAGAATGATATGAACTGGTGATCATCAGGAGGATCAGTGACATCAATCCTGGAGCCATCGTGTGCTGCACGAGAGACCATTAGAGGCATAAAAATGAGCAGCTATAAAAAGAGCAGACTGGGTCAATTCAGGCAGCACTCAGCTGTTCTGAAGCATGCCTCAAACTGAAAACTAAGAGAGCAACTACTAAGAAGAGACAGAGAGAATATCTGATGTGCTGTGATACTGAGCCATCCATTTGTGTCTGTATTGTGTCTTTTATTGTGTTTTCTAATGAAAAAGTCACTACCCAGGCAAGCTTCATGAAAATACTGGATTTCATAGCTACTTTGGCTGCTTGTTATATTAAAAACAACAAAATGTGATGTAATTATTCAGGGTTTTTAAGATTACACATATGCGCCGCTGATCCCTCCCTGTCTTACAGAGCAGGATGTAAATGTAAACGTTTATTCACTGTCACGCTAAAATAAATCACTGCATTCGACTCAGTCTCAATCACTTACTCACCGCATCCACTGTGTGTGTGCCTTTCTGTGACATAACGTAAACATCTAGCTAGCTAGCTAGCTAGCTGTCTCAGTCTAAGCTGTACGCTCAAAAATACAGAAAGGAGTGGGAATCAAACCCTGAATTCAAAGGCTGGTTGAAGCCATTTATTGGAGATGATACACGGGAATACTGCCTGTATTGTAAGGCTGATTTCTACACCAAACTTTGTGATATAAAAAACACTTCATAATTCTAAGCCTTATAACAGTTTCTATAATGGTTCCACCTAAAGCAAGCTGCCAATAATGAGTAAAAAAAATTGACTCAACTGGGGACATCATCGGACAGGGGAAGCAGAGGCCAAGGGCTTGGAGGTGGACTCGTCCATTACCCAAGCTGAAGGCACTGAGGTAGTTGAGAAGCTTCTCGGTGGCAAGGCACCAGGGGTGGATGAGATCTGCCCTGAGTACCTCAAGTCTCTGGATGTTGTGGGGCTGTTTTGGCTGACACACCTCTGCAGCGTCACATGGCGGTTGGGGACAGCGCCTCTGGACTGGCAGACCGGGGTAATCGTCCCTCTTTTCAAGAAGGGGGACCGGAGGGTGTGTTCCAACTATAGGGGGATCACACTCCTCAGCCTACCCGGGAAAGTCTATGCCAGGGTACTGGAGAGGAGAATTCGACCAACAGTCGAACCTCAGATTCAAGAGGAACAATGCGGTTTTCGTCCTGGCTGCGGAACACTGGACCAGCTCTATACCCTCTTCAGGGTGGTGGAGGGTTCATGGGTGTTTGCCCAACCAGTCCACATGTGTTTTGTGGATCTGGAGAAGGCATTCAACCGTGTCCCTCATGGCGCCCTCTGGGGGGTGCTCTGTATGGGGTCCAGGGCCCTTTGCTAAGGGCCCTGGACCCCAGGTCCAGGCTAAGGGCTGTCCGGTCTCTGTACAACCGGAGCAGGAACTTGGTTCACATTGCAGTAAGTCAGACTTATTTCTGGTGCATGTTGGACTCCGGCAGGGCTGCCCTTTGTCACCGGTTCTGTTCATTATCTTTATGGACAGAATTTCTAGGCACAGCCAGGGGCCAGAGGGAGTCCAGTTTGGGGACCACAGGATCTCGTCTCTACTTCTTGTAGATGACATTGTCCTGTTGGCTCCTTCAAACCAGGGCCTTCAGCGTGCACTGGGACGGTTTGCAGCCGAGTGTGAAGCGGGTTGTTGTGACTACACCATAGGACCAGCTGCTCAACCTCCCCTCTGTAGGCTGACTCGTCACCATCTCGGATGAGACCGATGACCGTTGTATCATCTGCAAACTTTAGGAGCTTGACAGAGGGGTCCCTCAAGATGCAGTTGTTGGTGTAGAATGAAAACAGCAGAGGGGAGACCACACATCCCTGGGGGGCACCTGTGCTGATTGCCCAGGTGCTGGATGTGGTTTTCCCCAGCCTCACCTGCTGCTTCCTGTCTGTTAGAAAGCTAGTATTCCACTGACCGGTGGGGACGGGCACAGTGAGCTGGGTCAGTTTGGAGTAGAGAATGTCCAGGATGATAGTGTTGAAATCCGAGCTGAAGTCCACAAAGATCCATGCATAGGTCCCTGGGGAGTCGAGGTGTTGCAGGATGTAATGCAGTGCCACTGACCTGTTTGCCCGGTAGGCGAACTGCTTCCAGTGATGCTTTTCAGGCTTCTCCACTCAGATGAGGAGTTATTGGCTGAAACTAGGGCTTTCAGCTTTTTAGAGTAGCTCCTCTTTGCTGCTCTGATCTCCCTTGTCAGTGTGTTCCTGGCCTGGCTGTACAGAGTCCTGTCCCCACATCTGTAAGCCTCCTTTTTGGCATGACAAAGCTACTTGAGTCTTGCTGTGAACCAGGGCTTGTTGTTGTTGTATGTGCAGAAGGACTTTTTGGGCGCACACACATCCTCACAAAATCTGATATAAGATTTGACGGTGTCAGTGAATTCATCAGGTCTGTGTCTGCAGTCTCAAATACACTCCAGTCTGTGCAGTCAAAGCAGGCCTGTGTCTCTGACTTAACCTCCTCAGTCCAGCTCTTCACTGTTTTGACTACAGGCTTCACAGCTTTAAGTTTCTGCCTGTAGGTTGGAATAAAATGGCCCATGCAGTGAGAGAGAGCCCGAGGGCTGTGCGGGGGACAGAGCAATAGGCGTCTTTTATTGCTGTGTAGCAGTGGTCAGAATCAGAATCAGAATCTGCTTTATTGGCCAGGTGTGTTGAACACACGAGGAATTTAACTCTGGTACATCGGCTTTCAGTGTGTATGTACATATCCCCATGCAAGGGGCAAGTAAACAGTAAACCAGTATAAAGCTGTGTAATATAACAAAATAAGTAGTATTAGCAGTATTAACAAGCAACAACCAGTGTAAACAATGCAAAATAAGCAGTATAAACAGGCAGTAAACAATGCAGACAGACAAAGGAATGCTCATTGAAATGAGATAAATAGGAATAAAAATAGAGTACTTAAAAATAGAGACCTGTACGGATCTGTATAATCTGTACAATGTGATTTTGTCCCTGGTGGGACAGGTGACATGCTGTCTGTATTTGGGCAGTTCGTGGGTGAGATTTGCTCTGTTAAAGTCTCCTGAACAATGAGTGGAGAGTTGGGCTCCACACTGGTCTTAAAGTCATATGTGATTTCACCTCCAATCAACCTGAAACATACACTGAGCCTGAGAAAACATTATCAGGATCCTAAAAACACACAGATACTCACACATGCAGAAAAACAGTGTCGTTAATATTTGTAAGAGAAGACCAAACTAAAGTCCCAGAGCTGCTCTCACAAATTTATTGCTGTGTGGTGACAAAAATGTCCCCTGTCTCCTCTCACGTGCTGAAAAGCCTCAGACTGATATAAACACACACACACGCTGGTTGTGGTTGCGGTGACAGTAAAGGGATTACTTACAAAAAAACCTATAATCTATCTGGGCAACCATAGGTGTGCGTGTGTGTACTTGCGTGCTTTTGATCACATGCTTGTTTGTGTGGTGTACTTGGAAGCCAGCAGCAGTAGGCCAACAGTGAGATCAGTGAAATCAGATGGCTGCCCCTGCTGCTATAATTTTCCTTAAATAGCAGTGATGTCATGTAAGAGGTAGAACGCTGCCCACAGCCGCCAGCAGCAATCCACGTTGTCCAGGCCATGTTTGTCTAGTAAGGCTATGCTGTTGGGCTGTTGGTGGAGGTCCAGGCGTGGGGCCAGCAGAGGCTGATAATAACAGAGGTGAAGTGGATGTGGTGGGTTTAATCACACACTCTGAGGGGAAAACACAACATCTGTCCTTTTGACTGATGCTGCCACTCTAAATGTTTCAGTTTTTGCCTCTCTTTTCTTCTTAGTTGTTTTCCCTCTTTTCCTTTCTTTAAACTGTCTTTCAAAGCCTATGAATGATAATGATAGTGATAATATAGGCTCTACATGGTACTACAAAACAACATCTTCTAAAATGATCATAACTACCTACTGAGTACTGTATACTTGTTTTATTCATGGTTATTCAGAAGAAATCCTATAAAAGTAAACCACTTAAAAGCAAAAATTAGCTGAGAAATATTGACTTTCTTTTTGGTTTCTGTCAACCCCTAAGGGAAATATCTGCTTGTTAAGCTGCTAAATAGCAAAGTTAGCCTGTAGCTAAGTATGCCTAACAGCTAGGTCAAAAAAAAAAGTACAGCATGGTGAAAGATGCTCAAACATCTGTCTGCCTTTGGGGAAACCGTGGAGTCAGATAACAAGTGACAGTGGGTTGCCACCTTTCATATTATCCATCTGGTCAATTGTGAAAAATACAGAGCAGCGCAGCACTAAAGAGCATGTTCTGTTATTATTAACCCATAAATTGTGTCACAAAGCAATTAGATTTTCTTTCATCCTTATGTTTGATTACTCTTTAAATCTCTGCTGTTTACACTGATTGTAACATTGGAAATATTTGCAATATAAAACTGTGTTGTTGTTTTTTTTAATTTCCATTATGTTTATATGGCCGTCTGTCTTAGCTTTTTGAATATAGATATTTAAAGGTGTCTCATCAAACTTCTGTTACTGCTTAATGTTTCTGCTTCTGTTTTTCTGTCTCCTTCTGTCATTTTCTCTTCATCCCTTCTCCTCACATCTTCGTGGGGTTTCATGTGTCTTGTAGCTCAGACTCTAATTCATCACAGCCTCCACAGAGGAAACCAGTGTGGCGTTAAACCAAGCCTGTGGTCTGGTTCCTAACAGCCCTCTACTGACACATATACACAAACTGTTTCTCTCAACTTGACACAGTTCAGATCACAGCAAAATCCAATTGCAACCACACCAGAGAAAAGGACCACTGTGGTTGAAGAGCACGGCCCCAGAGTGAGCTCAGGTGTTCTGGCCTGAGGTGAGCCACTCAAATGTTTGGAAGTTAATGTCACAGAAAGTAAGAACATTTCCTCCATATAATAATTAGACTTTTTATATGGGAGTTCATGCAAATTAGGGAAGTTTAAGTAGCAGCAGGTGTGAGTTTTTGCCCTTTACAGTCAAGCAGTCACACTAGGAACTTGAGTTTTGTGAGTTTTGTACTGAGACAGAGACAGACTGGGCAGCAGCTTTTGTAAAAATAAACAAAAAAAAAACGGGATAGAGCTGGAGACCTTTAGAAATAGTTTGTGAAGTAATACACAGTGAAGGCTATTCAGTAGAAATGCATAAGAGTTGATTGGTTGAGGCCACGGTTGGATTTTATTTGACTCAAACTTGTAAACGTAGTTGTGAATTGACTGGTTTTATGCAGGAAAGGGCAATAAGTAAAAAGATTTGCATGACTTCCTTTAGTTTGCCTGTTTATTCCAGAAACATTTAGTGATGAAAAAAAAAGTCAGGTCTCTTAAGATGTGTTCAGTTCATGGAAAAAATTAATTTATGACTGGAATACATATAAACATACACATCACAGTAAATGGTAACCACTGTTCACTGTTTGGTGTCACTGGTTTAATGGTTCAAAAAAAAAAGAACTGAGCACAATTCAAAAGCAAAGGTTCAATTTCACAATAAAAAACACTGGAAATAGAATTAGCTGAAATTATGTAATTTGTTTTGTCCATGATTTATAGCGATAGAGACTTCTGAAAAACATTATGAAAAGACTATGTTTTGCTACATACAGTATAGTAAAGGTCAAAATCATGGAATAAAGAGAAATGCAAAACAGGGTTTGGAAAACAGGTGTACAGACCTTAGTGATGGCAAGGGCGCATGCTTGTCCCCAGAGCTCTATCAGCTGTTGTTGTCCAAATCTGTATTCTTTCAGTAGTTCTGTTTCAATAGCTGCCACTTCCCCTTTACTGTCAGACAGACAGAGAGTAACATCAGGTTACTAAGAGAGATATCACGTTTGTCATCATAAATACAAACATCATCAGACCTGTACAGAGACAAATTTAGGCAATGTATGTTTAGCATGTTGTCACTGCTCTGCTCAAGAAATACTCTCTAAAATATTTCATTATTTAATCCACTAGCAGAAGTGCACTGCTCTGTTGTGTAAATTTAAAATGTATTTTTGCTTTAATGTAAGGATGGCCACACCAGAAGCCAAATATTTCCACATACAGTAGCATTTCTATTCATTTTTACAGTAATTCTACCTTTTCATTTAGGTAGTACATTTGGTTACAGACAACTTCTTTATAGTTAAAGCTACAGTATATAACTTTTACAAATATTTGTTGTTGTAGAAATATGCTCCAAAGCTTGTCTTAATTTGGCGAGGTACTGTCAAAGCCTCCTGTGACCCAGACTCATTGAACAGTACTAGCAGCAGTGCAGAGATATTAGCTCCTAAAAGAGAGATTTTCAATTATTTCTGCTTGATCAGTAAGTTTTGTTGCATTCTCAATGACAAATATCTGAAGACCTGGGCAGAGTGGGGTGCAGCGTAGCAGGCCGCAGTAGAGAGCAGAGTGGGTTGATTTGGATGATTTCTGCATGTAGTGTTACCTTAAGTTATTGTAGTTACTGTAGCTTTTTTTTTCTTTAGCATTTTTACATAAGTTCTAGATGAAGCAGAGACATTCAGTTAATTTTGTATTGTCAGCATTTAAGTTCAGCTAACTTTAGGTTGTATTAATAATCTATGGTATATTGTCCTTCGTTTCTGGTTTCTGTTTTTTTGGAAAATAACAGCTAACACCTTTTTTAAAAGTAAATTGTGTCCTGTATGTTGCTGCTTGGTCTCTAACAGTACTGCACTGTAAATTTGCAATGGTCAGTCTAATGCAATGTGATACAGCAGGTATTTAATTAAATTGGTTGTCCAATATCTGCAACAAGTGTGACTGTGAGCCTCCAGAAACGTTTACTCATATGCATATGTCAGTGTCTTCTTTTCATAATAAACGCTTCTGAGAAGTGTGGTCATGAAACTCACAACAGACCATATGAGTGATAAACTGAACTGTGACCTTTCCAGGAGCTTCCATTTGCCAGTTTGTGTCTGTCCATCTGTGCATCAAACTTGACATTTGTGTGTCTTCTTTATAAGTTTTTATACTTATTTGATGTGTCTTTGCTTCTTCTTGCTGTTTTCTGTGTGATGACATAATAACTGATGCTGCGGTTTTGGAACCTACTGGTGCTGCTTTTAGCATGCAGGTGTGTTCACATGTAACAAATGCATGTAGGATAGCAGTTGGCAGATGACAATGTCTACATGCCTTCTAAATGCCTTCTGATTATGAATAACAGAAACAGGCCAGTCAAAATTACTAAAGTCTGCATCTTTATTTAAGACCTGATTTTGCAACATCCCTGTTACTCTACAGACACCAGGTGGTCTTTCTCAGTACTACAGCTAAATAAGAAAACCTGGGGTAAACAATTAATTTCAAGTAGAAATATTACTGCATGTCTTTATTTTTCTTGTTTATTGTACATCAAACT